TGCATCATTGCCATCGCAACCAGCAATTGTTTTCACGGATTATCTCTTCGAAAGTGATACAGCAAGCGATGCTCAGCAGTCGTTCGCCGATCTATTAACCCTCACTATCCCCGAAGGTGAGTGTTGTTTTCCAGTCCTTTTACGAATAAAAAGTTAGGCAAAAATTAATTTTTATGCGGTTTTTTTTTGCATCTATGCAATGCAGAAAACTCATATTGACGGAGGAGGTGCTTGTCTGTATGTGTGTATGTATGTGTGTGTTTGTGTGTACGTCTGTGTGTTCATCTGTACCGATTTTCATCTTAAGACCTGTAAAAGCTACGGGACTGAAACTTTGGGAACTTAATCTACATGCACGTCCTGGCTCCAATCCCCAAAATGGTCACTCCTACCCATGTGGTTCCCACGTACAGGCCCGTGAAAACTTTTGCGAGTAAGTTGCTAACTTGGAAACCTGAAAAGCTAGAAAGCTGTAATTTTAAGGGGATGTTTGCAGACAGCCCTGGTGGCCAGTCTCAATTCTTGTAGCTAGAAGCATATGCCGGAAAAACAGTGCCGTTAGTGACAAAACCGGCGAGGAATTGTGCAAAAAGCGCATCTTTGCACCGACAATCGGTGCGATGGCTGGCTTGTCATATCCAGTAACAGTTGAGAAATCGGATAATTAATCCTACATTATCATCGATTTTTTCGGATATTTTTTGAGCATTTCAGACGAAATCGAAATTGACAGTGAACGTCTACTGGATGAGGGTAATTTGTACAGCATTGTGAGCGATGACGAAAAGCCGAGCCGAGTGGAGCGATCCAGTTCATCGACATCCAGCCTGAGCTCCGTTGTGCTACCACCAATACGTAAAGGAACGAAAAAGCTGTCAGTGAATACCTATGCAATTGTTGCAGCTCTAGTAGCCCTGCTTTCTTTTGTAGTCTACGTACTCATGAAAGCACTCTCTTCTTAGTGCCATTGCGAGCAACTGTTTTATAGCTGCTAAACTTCTTCTTTGAGAGCGCATGGATTCTATGTCATAATGAAGCAAAAACACATCTTTAGTTGGATTTTTGAGTTCTGGTGACGCGCAGTTTAGTGCCCGCAAAAAATTTTCACAGGGCTGTAAGTGGTACCCGAGAGCGCGAGAACGCTGAATTTGAACTTGCAGGATCGTTCGTGGACAGGGGGTCATTATCCTAAAATTTCACCTTCCTATGTATACTTCTGATTTTTGCTTTGTTTGATTGCGATTAACTTGTGATTTAGGTTTTTCTGTAAAAAAAAAAGATTTAAGGCTACTATTTTTGAAAGTGCCAACCATCCATTAACTATCAGCTTAAAATGATTCTCTATTGTTTTATGCGTTTTGTGCTGTGCAACAGCTGTACAAAACGTATATTGTGACGGGTTTGTCTGTGTGTGTGTTTGTATGTGTGTGTGTGTTTATGTGAATGTGTGTGTTTGTGTGTATGTATGTGTGTTTATGTATATATGGGTTCATGTGTATGTGTGTTTATGTGTATGTGTGTGTTTGTGTGTATGTGTGTACGTATGTTTGTGTGTGCGTGCGTATATGTATGTTTGTGTGAGTGTGTGTGTGTGTGTCTGCAACAACTTATTTACTCTGCTCTAGGGAGTTTTTCTACCGGGCTATGTTAGAGAAAGACTTTTCAATCATATTGCTATGGAATGATTTTTCGAAACTGTACTAGGTAATTTTGTTTTTGAAATGTGCTATTTTTGAAGCAAAATTTCTTTTGGAGAGAGAGAAAAAGCGAAATTTTGAGTGAAAAGTGATTCTTTAAAACGTGGCAAGATAATTCTTGTACTAAGTTAGCTGCGTTTCTGAAATATGCAAAGAATTTACGTTTAAAGAATAATCTGAGATAGCCAAATTTTCAAGTTTTATTGGATTGGTATATCTCCGTGATTGATAAATCTCCAGGATTTTCTCGGAGACTTTGTTTTTCGAACTTTTCGTTTTGATGAAGTGTCTTTTTTCTTCATTTCTAGTCAGGTTTCACTGCAAAATTTCATGTTTTTGAGGTAAATTTTCTTCACTTAAATTTTGTTTTTTTTTTGGTCATTTATCCGGATTTTGCTGTTGCTTTTTTTTGGTCGGGAAATGTTGTTTTTTTCTTTTTGAGCCATATTATCTGTTTTACTAGAGCTTGTTTTTCTATGTTTGTAATCTGTAGCATTCGAAGGAATTTTTTGCATTCGCAATTCAGCGAATTGTGTGAAAAAAAAATAACACTTGGTTGTTTTTGGCGCTCTTGTCTTTCCTTGATTTTTGATAAATATTGGCGAAGTTTATTGCATTTTCGTTAGAAAATATGTTGATTTCGGCAGTGGTTATCTCTTTTCCAGTTTTTTTCATCTTTAAAAAAGGGAATAAATGGCAACGCGCACCAGGCTAGCCGGTGCGATCATGCGTTTTGTGCAATTCAGCCCATC